AGGGAAACAATGGGTTAACACTGTATGCCCCAAACCCTGACAGGCTGGAGAAATGGAGGAAAAGGGGTTGTAGTATGAGCATACCCCATTGGGGCTGCTTTTTCCTTCTCTCTCTGGAAAATACACATACCCACTGACAATTAAAAAAATATATAAATAAGAATGGAATTACCAAGAAATAACTAAAACTTTATGGAACAGGAAGATATACCTAACAAGCCATGGAGGGGTTTAGCCAATGAAGTTCGTCAAACACAATCTTGTAAATGAATTCAATACATGAACTTGCTTCAGAGGGTGTCAGCAAAGACACAAATAGAAGTCCTTGCCACCCAATTAACACAGAAAAAAAATTGTTATTGGAGACAGACGTCTACAAAATATAATGTCCTAGGAGAGTCACAATTTTCTAAGGGTAGCCGCAGTGCCATCTTAGTACTAGAAGAGGGATGGGAAAATCCTGATGGAGTTCCCCCTGTTAAGAATTGCAGTGCAGGGGCAGGCAGGTGGCCTGGTGGTTGAGGGTGCTGGACTCCCACAAGGCCAACTGAGGTTAGAGTTTTGGACCTGACAGCTTGCTTTCTCACTTTCTCTCTCCCTCTCTCTCTTAACCACCATGCCACAGGCTGGCCAGAAATATCTCTGTTTCTCCCCCCTCCCCCTCCCCCTCTCCCTCTCTTATCAAATTTAAATAAATAAATAAAGTTAAGTAAAATAATTCTTTTTCTTTCTTTTTTTCTGGGGTGGGGGGAGATTTTCGCTATAGGGCACGTGCGCTCGCCAGACAGACAGAGAGAGACATAGAGAAAGAAAGCGAGAAATCAACCCCCAGGGGGGATGGTCACGCTGCAATCCCTTCTCCTCTATTCTCCTCTCGGGATCTTGGGCACGCCAGTACACACACCCTGCGTGAGTTTTAAGCCACCGGGTCCGGGACGTGAACCACAGTCGACTACGTGGGAGTCCAGTAACATAGCCATTACACTAACTGCTGGTTCCCCAATAATTCTTTTCTTAAAAAAATATTTGTAGTATGCCTTTTTGAATTTGCCTCCAGCTAATAAGAGTGTGGTTGGGTTTAGGATACATTATTTCAGTGCCAGACTGAACCCATCCTCTTGCTTCCATTGAAAAATATATGGAAATGCCTTTTATGGTCATTTTTTAATACCTCAAAAATTTGATGGGGAATCAGAACTACAATGTTTTGACTGGGTCATGAGAAAAGTCATTTTTCTATGCATAGTGCATAATGACTTTTCTGACAACCCAGTATATTCATGGTACAATCATATCACTAATCAGATACAAGCTACAACAAGTTACAGATCTGCTCTCTCTTATTTTTACGCCTTGCTCTCAGCCTTAATTGAGATATACCATCTCAAGGCAAGTACATATTATGACCCTTATGACAGCTTAACTTCTTGAGGAAACACAATGCCGTGATGACCTCCAGGACAT